CGGTCCGGCCACTTCCGGGAGCTCGCGCGCAGGCGCCGTCCGCGCGCCGCCCTCGATCACGTGGGGGAGTTGGGGCGGTGGCTCCCGCTCACCTGGGCCCAAACGGGCCTGGGCTGCGCGAGGAAGGCTTGGCTTTCGTCTCGGGTGGGATCCTGGGCTTCCGTGCCGCCGCGACGGGTGGACAGACGCTTTCATGCAAAAGTAACCATTCATGCCTTCACTCGGACAACTCGGGGGCGTCCTGTGACTGCCCCCCGCGAGAGTGTGCGGCGACCTGGGCAAGACCGATGGTACTGCATTCCCGGCTGCTGTGCACTGGTATTGAGTGCACGGAAGCCTCGGAAGCAAGGTCCCTACCGTTCGCACTTCAGGTAAGGAATCAAATGCTAAAGTGACACACAGAAAAAAAAGTTTCATGGAACAAAAATCAGGGTTGTTGGGATGTGGGATATGAGGATCCCTTGGAAGAACCTAACTTACACAAGATAAATTAGAGAAGGCGAAGGTAAAATGTCCACTTTGATAAGATGCCTGACATTGGAAGAAGGGGGAAATGGCGAGGAGAGTAGTGGCAAGGGAGAGCTTCCCAGAGCAAGTGCAGAGGCCCTCGGAGGCAGCACTTCCCAGCTGCAGGGAGGTGAAGCCAACACTGTGGGGAACACTTAAAAAGCAAGGGAAGAATGGAATGAAATAAAGTTGGAAGGGAAAGCTGTTAGGTCTGATCAGATAATCAAATCGATACCCCCTCCCTCTGGGAAACGAACTTTTAGATCCTTTTGCAACCGACATTTCCTTTAGCTTAGACTACATTCATTTGCTAAGACCAGTAATTTTCCTCTCGGACTTGCCCAAGATCTGGACCCGCCCAGAGAATTCCCAGCTGAAGAAGCCCACTTAGAGTCCTTTGAAATCTCTGCCTCCCCATCCCTGGAGGCTGGTGCCATTTTGGGGCTTAGCCCATCTGGTTTTCCAGATGACCTAATCCTATGTAATGAAAGGCTTATATGCAAATCGACTGAATGGCCAAATGATGAGTCACTATAATGTGCACTGACCATCAGGGGGCAGACACTCAACACAGGAGCTGCTGCCTGGTGGTCAGTGCACTCCCATGGTGGGGGCGCTGCTCAGCCAGAGCCCTAAGCTGGGGTCACAGCTGGCAGGCATCGGTGGCGGGGGCCTCTCCCACCTCTGCTGCAATGCTAAGGATGTCTGACTGACAGCTTAGGCCCACTCTCCACAGGCCTAAGCCATCAGTCGGACATCCCCAAGGGCTTCTGGACTGCGAGAAGGTGCAGGCCAGGCTAAGGGGTCCCCACCCCCCGAGTGCACGAATTTCATGCACCAGGCCTCTAGTAAATTTATAATTCTTAACCACTTTGGGCCTCATGTGTTCCTTCGGGGACCCTTACATTTGGTGCTGAAACCCAGGAGGGTTCCTGGCTTCAGTCACACTGAGTCTGCTACTCTGAAAGCTGTAGGCAGTGACAGCTCGTCCTCGGCTTACCTCAGCAAACTCCACCCAGCATCCTAATCAGACACTGCTGTAATTAATGATTTTGGCAGGTGTAAGGGATTTTTTTCTACATCCTTTCCTAACAGGAGACCACATTCTACTCAAAACAGGGACAATCAACTGGACGGGAACCTGTACTTTCTCTCTCACCCAATATTCAGTCTTTGCCTGTCCCTGTAACCCATCATATGTAACACAAAAGGGCAGTCTAGATAATCCCTCTCCTCATAACCCTCAGTGTCTCAGCAGGTGTCGGGATTGGCATAGGGGATTTAACCACTGCTCTGTCATCTTTTGAATTTCTGTCTCAGGACCTACAGGAAAGCCTAGATGACATTGCCAAAAGTTTAGTTCAAATTCAGGATTAGATAAACTCACTAGCGACTGGCCCCCTCCACAATCAGAGAGGACTAGACCCCCTAACTGCGGAGAAAGTGAGTCTATGCCTCTTTCTGGAAGATGTCAATCAGTCTGGCCTAGTGAGGGATGCCACCCAAAAATTAACAGAAAGGGCCGCAAAGATTAGAGAACGTCAATCACCTTCATGGGACTACTGGCTAAAAAATATAAATTGGTATACCTGACTACTTTCCTTCATAGGATCATTAACACTCCTATTCCTCATCCTCATTTTTGGCTCATGTATTCTGCATGCTGCTGCAACCCCTTACTCCAACCATGAGGAATCTATGCAGGGTTTCAGTCAACTACAACTAAATTCCATCACCTTATGATCTTGATATCTCCTCTCAGATGGAAGAAATGACCTCCGTCCTTATTCCATAAAGCAAAAAGGCTGAGTCAGACCTAACAGAAGCAAGCATTCAATCCTTCAGAACCTTGTATGCCAAGTTAAAGAATTGTATTGTAGCATACAGCAAAGAAAGCAATACATGCATTTAAGCAACAGTGACATTATACAATTATTTTAAAAGGCCATCCTATGCATCGATCTGATAGTGTATCTCTTGATGAGATGTAGTATGAAGTACACAATATCATCTATTGGAGCAAAGTAAATGATACCATAGGAAATAACCAAACAAATCCAGAAGGGGAAACATTCTGCAGGATAACTGGCCCCATCTCTTCAATAATTTATTGTTTTGAATAAAGCCACTACTCTACTCTATGAAAAGAATTTTAAGGGACATAAGAGTCTGGATTAAATTCTAGTTTGAACAGGCCACCTATAAAATGCATTTTTCAGGACAATTAAGGAAATTTTAATGTAAATGGACTGAGTGTATGCTGAAAATGTATTGCCGTGGAAGGTGGAGATCATTGACTAGGAAGAGCAAGCCACAGGACAGTTGTAATACAAATAAACAATACAATAACTCATAAATAATACAAAAATAAACTTGCCCATACAACTTTAGACCTACTTTTGCCCACCCTTTTCTATGTTACAATATCTCATTTTGATTACAAAATGAAGTGCTTCTAGGTGCTATGGGGAAAAAAAAATCTAGCATTATACCCTAAGGTGTTAGCAGTTATAATCTTTGAAAGTGGAAATGTGTATTTTATTTTTGCCTATCTTTTTATGTAATTTTTACAGCATACATACTATTTTTGCTATATACGTTTATTTTATCACAATTTTTAAATTTTTATTTTAATTAGAATTTCTAGGTTAAAATAAAATAGCTACTGTGGAGTGAATGCATTATGAGGAAGACAAGATGGAACCTGGGAGGATCATGAGACCATTTCAAAGAACCAGGTAGGAGATCATGAAAGCTAACATTAGCAAGAGTGAACCACGTTGATATATTTTTTAGTGAAACATTGAAGAATTTATTGATAAACAGGATAGGAAAGTAAAAAGTGTTGAATCATTTGTTAATATTTAACTCAGCCATGTTTATTTCCTTCATAAACTTATCCCAACTCGTAAGTATGTTGTTTGTTGGTTTACTTTTTCGCTGACTTTCCTACTAGAACATAAGCTCCATGAGGGCAAAAATTGTGTTTGTTTAATATACTGTTATATGTCCAGTACTTGGCACATTCTAAGCCCTCAGTACATATATTTGAACGAGTATTTTATTATTTGTAAAAAAAAAATTAGATTTCTTCTAGCAAAACACCTCCCCTTCCCTAATCACAGTTACTTTCATTAATTAGGAAATAGGCCAGTGGCCGAAAGAGGATGTTATATTGAAATAGTCTAGCTTGTGCTCTGGTAATAAACAATTGCAAAATTGCAGTGTCTTAACATAATAAACAGTGGTTTCTTACGCAAAGTCGAGGCAACTGTCCAGGGTAACTGTGCTTCAAGCAGTATCTCAATAAACCAGACTAATCGATCTTTTAGCTTAGCCATCTCAACATGAGACTCCATATTCAAAGGAAAAAGGAACTCTGTAGCACCACACAGTAGCTTTTCACTGCCTCAGCCCTCTCCCATCCACTCACGTTTCACTGGCTAGACCTCTCACCTGGCCCCATCAAACCACAGCAGGACTGGAAAGTCTAGTCTTCTATATGCCCAGGAAGGAAGGGAGAACTGGATATTGGGGAGCCCAGTGATACATTCCAAAAATGAGTTTCATGCTTCCAAAGTTGCTTATGGTAACATTGCTTTTCCATCTGTGTACTCAAACTTCATACATTATGTTCTCAGAATGTATTCTCAGTGTAATATTTAGGGGGCGGGTATTAAATTCAAAGATTTTCCTCCCTGATCATCTCTTGTTCTGGTAGGCCCATCCTTACCCCCACTGATTGAACCAATAGAAATAATTGCCTCTTTGGGAGAACAGAACCCTGCTGGAAACAGTTTTCATTTTCAAAATAGAGTTTTGCTACTGGCATCTAGTGGGTAGAGGCCAGGAATGCTACCTACAATGCATAAGGCAGTCCTCCACAACAAACACTTATTCGGTCTAAAATGTCAGTAGTACTGAGGGTGGTATTCACTCATGGGAAGCATTCTGTTCAGAACGGTTTCCAAAATTTGAGGAATATACTGCTGGGAGTACAGTACAATCCATCTTGAAGGAGTGGGTTGTTCCAAAGAATGAATGAAGGCTTCCTTTGAGAGATGAGAAGGAAGCATTGTTGCAGAGAGATTCGTATCTAAGAATAGGGGAGAAAAATTAAGAACTGGAATATAACAGCAAGGGTTGAATTTCTTGAGGACTTTTCCATTACACTAAGGAGAAAGTCATACAGTACATCTTGTGTACTGTGTGTTTGTGTCCTTCCATGTAGGCTAAGGAAGAGTCCAGAGGATCTATCCTGTGTATAGCTGGCTTTAAGAATAAAAGATGGCCCTAGCTGGTTTGGCCCAGTGGATCGTGCGTTGGCCTGTGGACTGAAAGGTCCCAGGTTCGATTCCGGTCAAGGGCATGTACCTCGGTTGCAGTTTCCCCAACCCTGGTCGGGGGGCGTGGAAGAGGCAACCAATCAATGTCTGTATCTCACATGGATGTTTCTCTCT